AAGTATGAAAACGAATGGACTCCCCGTACCCGTAGCCACTGCCATACATATATGTACCTCGGGTACATATCTGTAGTACCTGTTACGACAACGACCCCTTGAGCTCTAGTACAAGACTGTCAGGAGCATAGAGTGCTAGTAGTAGTAATACTATGCCCTACCTTGGTACTACCTAGTCTAGTACTAGTAGTAGTGTACTGACATTTACTGTATACAGTGTATAGACTGTAGTACCGGTACTATTAGTATTACTAGTACTACCCTAGTATTACTATTTCTATTAGTATTAGTACTACTAGTACTATACAGTATATAGTACTACTAGTTAGTAGTACTACTACTACTACTAGTAGTAGTAGTAGTAGTAGTAGTACTAGTAGTATTACTAATACTACTAGTACTAGTCGCTACTGAGCTAGTGTCTATATCAATTTACACATGTTAATCACCATTAGGCATTACATTCGTTGCATCCTTGATTTTTTCTATCAGCGCATATCATACACACTCCCAGGCAAATAGGCTACAATTTACAAACTACAATATTTTTTTACAATATTTCAGCGTTTGTTTCGAACTGTGTTAAGCTGTAATGTAGATCTTTGCATCATTTCTATTTTGAGGTGTGCAACTTGTATATGATACTCTGCATCCGTTTCTGCCAGGTGACTAATAACAATTTTCTGTGGGTTTCACATTCATGGGATCACATGTGGTCTTATAATAATATTCGAACAATATTCGAATAATATTGCAATTTGCTTGGATTTGCTTGGACACTGGTGACCAATTTAGTGAAGTTCTAACTATGTATGTTTTTTAGGACAATCATATATTGGATTACCATTGGATAGAGTTGCCTGGAAACCATGTTTTCCAGTGGGCCTAGCTACAGCAAACTAAAGACGAACCTGAGACTATCAATAAATCGACTAAAACTACTAGAGAAAAAGAAAACAGAGCTTACTCAAAAAGCGAGACGGGAAATTGCCGATTATTTATCAGGTATGCAATGTATGCGTATATGTAGTAATGTATGTAATATAAGAAGTAGATAATAGGGAAGGAGTGTGACTTTAATAAACAAGGGAAATTTGTCATTTACTAGCCTTAGAATACCTACGATTTACTACGCGTAACTCAACCAACTTGAGCTCAAAATCGTACACAGTACATTCGCCTAGCATCGTGCGAAGTCGTTTCCTCGTATACACCCGCAATCCGGAGTTACAGACTAAAACGTACGACACGATTCTCCATTCTGTTGCCAACAAACCGAATCCATAACCCGCCTAACTTGAAACAAAAAGCAGCTACTAACGACTCTTGCGCCCGAGAAGAGAGAGAGAGAGAGAGAGAGAGAAGGAGGTATATGAGGAGGGCCAGAGAAGGTGGTAAGAGGAGGAAGGTAGTGGAGGAGACTGGAGAAGGTGTTGGAAGAGGAGGAAGGAGGAGCTTAAGGACGAGCCGGAGATGGTAGATGGAGGAGGAGGGGGAAAGAGGAGGAGGTTAGAAAAGGGACAGGTGGTACAGGAGGAGGTCGAGGAGGAGAAGGTGGTGGAGGAGGAGGGGAGAAGGTGGAGAGCGGAGAGGAGTGGTGGAGGAGGAGGAGGGGGCGAGAAGGTGAGGAAGGAAGGGGAAGTGAGATTTGAGATGGTGAGGGGGAGAAGGTGGTGGCATGAGGGGGAGAGGAGGTAGGGGGCGAAGGTGGATCGAGGAGGAGGAAAAGGGAGAGAGGAGGTGGATGAGGAGGAGGTAAGAAGGGAGGAGATGAGGTAGAGGAGGCACCTTCTACCTCCTCTCCTCCTCCGTCCTCCCAGTCACATTCTCCCTCTCGCTCTTCCCTGCAACCACCACCTGCAACCACTCGTCATCTTCCCTCTCTTTCCCCTCCTACTCTCCTCCCCACTGTCCGATGTCCACTCTCGACAATGTCTCGGGGGGTGGTAATTGTCCGGTCGGGTAAACTGTCCATGTGGTAAATGTCCGGGGGGTGATTGTCTGGGGGGTAAATGTCCGGGGGGTAATTGTCTGGGGGGTAAATATCCGGGGGGGTACATGTCCGGGGTGATTGTCCAGGGGTAAAT